CATTTTTGGTCCATTTGTGTCTAAAATTTTTTCATCCAATGAGGCCGGGGGGGGGGGCAAGTGCCCCCCTTGCCCCTACCTGCGGGCGCCCATGCCACCAACACAGCTATGCACCGTGGGGCTAGTCTACAAAATCACCGAGAAGTCAAAATGGCGCAGCGCCGCGTCTTCGGCGTCCAAAACTGGATCCATCTCCTACAGAGACAATAAGTCGTCAAGATGGTCGTGGTGCTGTCTGTGGTGTTCATTGCCAGCTTCACGCCCGACGTCCTCCATATAATCGCCATGCTGTGTCAGCCAGGGTACATGGTAAGTGGACGTTATCAGCACCAGTTACTTCTCTGTGGCACGTTTGTGTTCAACCTCCAGACGGTCAACTCTGACTCCATTATTTTTGTGTACCTCAAGCAACAATTTCAAGCTGGTTTTTCGATCTTTATTTCAATTTAGAGCTCAGTCAGATCCACAAATTAGAAATTCATCTAATGGCTTGTTAATTTGTACATTTGAATTCTATTTTTATCAGTTTTTTTTTTAAAAGCCTGCCGAGATATTAACAAAACAGATGTATTTTCTTTTTCAATGTGATACATTTCTTAAAACTTTTAATATTCTTTGCTATGTGCGTGTCTCATACTCAATACTCAATACATCACCATTTTCTGGTGGAGTGGGCTCTTTATCGTTAGTCTTTGACTTCTTCAAATTTAGTCATCAATAAACCAATGCAATTTAATGCACGCAAGCCATCAGTGTTTACAAACCACATACGTAACAAGTCTTCGACTTTTTAAAAAAAACCTTTATTAAATATTCTTCTAAATGCTGTAAGTTCACAGCGCATCGCTCTGTATAAATGCAGGGCCTGATTTACTTATAGGCTAGTAAGCTAAAGGAAAAGGCCTCCTAAATCAAAGGGCGCTTAAAGATTTAAGAGGCTATAGACTGCAGGGCCTAATTAAAAGTGTATAACTTACTGTTAAACCTGCTATATCAACAGACTGTACTGGTCAGCACTGGACATGCGCATCTGCTTGGCGGACGTTGCACGAGAGGGTCACGTGGGGGCAGCCTACAGGGGCAACAGGGATTACTTGTAGGTAGCTCAAGTGAGGAGGACGTATGTGCTGCGACAGAAGGACCCAAGTGGAAAATATTCAGAGGACAGGTCGAGCGAACGAAGAGCTATGAAGCCAACGAAAGAAAACAGGAATGGAATATTCTAGTGTAATTGATTCTTGAAATGTCGCAACTATAACAATAACGGACTGTGTAGTTTGTACCAGTGTGTCAAATTGTTTTTGTAAGCTAGAGAGAGATGGCAATTTATCTTACATCATAGACAACGCTGTAACAATTACTTTAAAAAAAATTAACTTAAGACCAATATTCAAATTGAAATAATTCCTGTACAAAAATGTATCACAAATTTAATAAAACATCGTGCTCCACACTTTTGACGTTTTTCTAAGGGCCGCCTCCAGTGTTTCTTTCAGAAATTTTTCCCCGGGGGAGCACTTCAGATTTTCG